ATAATCGGTTAACAAACAATTCGGATAGCGAACAAAGTCTTGGAACGGATTATGTTCGTTAACCGATTACCCACTGTATTTTTAAAACAAATTTTATCACAAATTTTAATTTTGATTACTATTATTGTATTTTAATATAATATTAATAGGAATTTATTATCTTCAACAAATTTAAGATTTATTATAAACACTAACAGATACCAACAAGTACACTTATTGGAAAAAACAAATGTTTAAATTTGAAAATGTCTCTTTATACTTTGTTATTTGAATATCTCAATAATATGTTTGAAAAGTGAGTGTGTAGTGTTTAAATTTTTAAGATTTTCATTGATCATCCATTTATGTATCAAATTATCTGAAAGTGATAAAATATTAAGTCACAAAATACATTTTATATAATTTTAATTAGTCTTTAATTCCTTTATATTTAATATATTATATTTTGTACAAATACATATTAGATAATTCTCTTGAAGGGTTATCACACAATTGAAACCAGTGTTGTGGAGAAGGAGTCACTGGTGTCAGATGTTTTTGGGTGGAGTCTGAGTCGGTAAAATTCTTTCGACTCCAACCTTGAATTTATTGGCCTATTGAACCTATGAACCTATTGGCTATGAACCTATTGGCAAAATGTGAAGTGTGAAAAATACTGTTTAATTAATCTATTAATATCTAAATCCAAAGAAATTTCTTAAAAAACAGAAATTTTGATAAATTTAGATATCAAAATGATATTTACTTATAAAGGCCATTTCATACCAAAATGTTATGCATATATCATGTGACATGTTCTATACTTTCAGAAATTGCTTTTATTAATTTAAGGCCCATAAGTGACCAAATGGATAAAGCTATCGAACACTGGTAGCTGGTTGTGGGATTGTGCCTCATCAAGCTGGCCATATGGAGTTTTCTGTGTTTTCTTCACATTAGTAACATCTAAATAGGGACAGGTTTTCATAAAAGCCAACTCAGGAGGTAACCCCTTGGCAGAATGTCCTTGTGTTTCATTGCCATAATCAAAAACACCAAACCTATTAATTTAAACAAATATATTCACATCATCTAGAGAGTTCTACTCGGTATATAATGTATACCAAGCTTGGTATATTTTTGCTATTATTCAACAAAAAATTAGAAAACATTGCACAATACTTGACTGACTTTGCATTTGTAAAAAAAATAACTTAACCTTTATTATTTTGTCGTAGTTCATATGCTACACAAAAAAAAATTGACACTAAGTAGCATGTGAGTCACTTCAAGAAGCAAATGACTTTTTCAATGTATGAGTGTATTGATTGATTGATATTAGATAATGCAACATGAGGGAAATCTGCCAATCAGGAAGTGTGCCTGCTGGGTTTGTGGGTTTTTAAGGAAAACTGGACTTTCTTTAGGCATTATTTATGTGGAAAAAACCCATCGAACTTCACTAGCCAGCATGAGCTGACTACCAGTGCTTAGGGATTAAATTCACTTAGCCACTGATGCAGCATGGGTATAGGATTGAGAACGATGTACCACTTGTTTCTAGGTAGAAAATTTTTTGCAGCAGTCTCTACCAGAATTTGATTCCAAATCCTATATGGAATGCTACCACTCAATTGTCTGAGTGCTAACTTTCCTGCCAAAAGAATTAAAATTGCATTTGGTACTATTGGTTATGATACTTTATTTTAAAAAACTGTAGATAATTAATTATTATAAAATGGCAAAAAGGCTTAAATTTGAGGGTAGAGATGGAAGTTATAAAATGTTCATAACAAGTAAAATCTTCCCTCTTAAGATATGACACATGACTACTCTCTATCTCCCCACCCAATTGACCTTTAACCATCAAAATTTCAGAGCATCAATGCTCTTTATACACAAGCTACCAAGCCAAATTTAGTTTCTTAATCATTACCCCATCCTGAGATATTAAATGAAATAGACATCAACACAATCACATCATACATACATATCCAAGGAATTTTTTCACTTTTTCTTTTTTTTTACTTTTTTGGGTTCAGGGTGTCTCAAAATGTAAAGATTTGCAAAAAAAAGAAAAAAAACTTGACACGATTCCAATACTTTCCCATGTTGTGTATATGTAACAGCCAGGAAAACAAAAGTTTATGGTATTGCTTTGATGTGCCAAGCTTATCTTTGCCAAAGAGAAACTCCCAAGAAGAATTTTGACTTTCATTTCTGCTGCCATAATTTTTACTTGGCACAATAACTTTTTACACCTCAGATGTTTTTTGAGTAATTTGGCTAATTAATGTTTTCACTGCATTTCTATTGGCTGTGATTATTTCTATTGGCATTTATGATGTTTATCATTGCTTCTATAACATTATTTGATCTTAAAACAGTCAATAGAAGAACAGTGAAAAAATAAAACCAAGGTCAGAATCTAACTGCAAAAAACTAAAAGAGGGAGAGAAAACTGCAAAATATAATTAATAGGATTGTTTCAGCTCATTATTCACTGGTTTAAATTCTGGAGATAATGAATATATGCATCTGTTAGAGGTGACTGGTATTTTTTCCCAAAATTCATATTTTAAATTCTGTTACCTGTATATATTTAAATTTAGTCAAGCATCAGTTGGAAATCAACCACTTTTGTAGTAGCAAGAGTGGGAGAAATTATATAGACCAATTTACTATATCATTCATCAAACCATTGTTTTTTTTTGCATTTTATTGTATTTAATTTTTTTCTTTAAAAATATTAAATTTAAATTAATTTTTAATAATTAACTAATAAAAGTGGAATTCTTTTGGCTGATTAGCTTTTTCAAGATAAATTTGTTATATATCCATTTTTGATTCTCACCATCAATTTTAGTACAACTTTTTATAGAAAAATTTTACATAAAAATATTTGGGTACTTAGTGGTATCTTTCTTATAAAAAGAATCATAATGTGACAATTTAAAAAAGGATAAGGTTGGAGTTGCACATTGCAAATTTGCCAGAGTTGGAATTGGAGTCAGACTTTTTGCTTACTGACTCCACCACACTGATTGAAACCATAGTTGCCATATTTTCAAGCTAAACTGCATTTTGGACCCTGGTGTTAAATGGCCCTTATCAGTTAGATGATCATAAATTACAGTATATATAAGGCAAATAATGCATTAACTATGTTACAAGACTTATACAGACATCCATAAACCTAACTAAATCTAAATATCACTAAATTAATAATAATAAAATGCTAAAAAAACTAACTCTCAGTAACATACCTAAATCATACAGCTATCGACAGCTTTACAAATTATGTTAAACATTTTTAACAAAAACTAAAACACCATATTACACTATACAACAAATAATCAAAAACATGTTGTTTCACATTTATTATAATAAATCCATTTTCTTCTCATGCATCAACAGGACTTAATTATTTCTTCTAGATGAATCACTTTTAACATATATTGCCTGTTGTATGTCTTGATTACAGCTATTATACTGCTATTTTATCTTTCCCATCTGAAGTGGTATGCCAAACTATTACACATTCATGTACAGGTAACCCCCATATAACACGGTAGTTACGTTCTAAAAATTGCCATGTTATGCGAATCCGTGTTATACGAAACAAAGAACTAATACGAAAAAGAGGGTTAGGTTCCAAAAATTAAAAAACATGCTAGTATATTTTCATAATTAAATTTTTTTAAGTGATACATATTAATATAAATTAAACAATGTTTTCTTCGTCATCACTAAAAACACTATTAATTAACCGAGAGCGTTTTCTTTTTGGCAAGTTATCCTTATCCTCTGAGCATTTTTCTGCATTATCTTCAGATCCATGCTTTACCTTTTGCAAAATGTATGTAATTTTAGATTGCTTGCTTCTAGTTAAAAGGTCTTTATAAATTTCCTTATATGGTGCTAAGCACTTATGAAGAATAAAGCAAGTATGGAATAAGGGAAAAACATTCGGCAACATCAGAAGCAGAAGCGTCGCGATCTGGCAACATTGAAACAAGTTTCGAGAAGGACCACGTGTATCGACAGAAGGCGAGAAGAGAAAATTTACATACTTAAGTACTAATAGTTCACGAAAATAATAATTTTCCTGAACTATTATTACTTAAGTATGTAAAAATTTATTACATTTCATGTTGTATGAGGGTTTTACCCAATTCTCGAACCGTGTCAGAGTGAATCCGTGCTATAAAAGTACCGTGTTATACGGGGGATGGTACCAATTCTCGAACCGTGTTAGAGTGAATCCGTGCTATAGAAGTGCCGTGTTATACGGGGGATGGTACCAATTCTCGAACTGTGTTAGAGTGAATCCGTGCTATAGAAGTGCCGTGTTATACGGGGGTTACCTGTATTACCAATCATGTATGTCACATTTGGGTTTTATTACTTTAATTACACTATGTACCAAACTGCTATCTTTCAATATCTGTTCATTATTTATTATCCACTATGTAAAAGTAATTCTTCATTTATAACATAACCCATTCTTCAGGTTACATTATAAATTAAGAAATACTTTTACATATATAGATGAGAGATATTGAGCTCAAAGTTCATAAGGCTCTTGTGTATGTGACCTGCTGGGCTTTTGCAACATAATTGTATTTTTTTGTTTTTTGTCTTCTGCCATTATGCAACTTCAATTAAGCTGATATTCATGATGAACGTTCAAACTAAACTTTAATGAAAACATGAGAATAAACTCTACATTACTAGTTTTTACATATTATTAGCATATATTATTTCAGATATCGGGTATGTTGTTACTCACCAGGCTTAAAGCCTGCAACTCTTAAGAAAAAATGTATGTAACCTCCCAAAAACCTACAAAGTTATCTTGCATTTTGCATCCAGTAGAGGTTGTTCATGTAATGTATATAGTTAATTTAATCATACAGTTTATATTAATAGATATCGAAAAGTTATTAAAATATTTTTCTTTATATTTTTATATTTTAGTATTTCTTATGTAGTTTAATAATAATAAATATAAATTTTAGAGTTAGAGAATTAACAACAACAAAAATTGGTGGGCTTCTTCGCATTTGTGGTCAAGTTGTCCGAACTCATCCTGTACATCCAGAATTAGTTAGTGGAACATTCACATGTCTTGATTGCCAGACTGTTATTAAAGATGTTGAACAGCAATTTAAATATACTCAGGTAAGAGAAAACAAAATCATTTTAATAATTTTTTAAAATTTTAATAAACCATCATAAATTATCTATAAATCAACATGATAACATCTTAAATGGGTTTTTCTGTGCATTGGAAGTCAATTGAACACAATGTACTGGGCATCTGGCAAAAAGACCATTCATATGGAGTTCTCTGTTTGTTGTGAAACTAATACTGGCAGTTAGAGACAGCTCTGCAGAGAGCTGCCTACCAAACAAGAATGCCTATTACAATGGCTGTTAATGTCAAATAGCAATCAGTTTGAGGGGTGTTCTATTTTGACACTGCAGCACATTCAGAGCCGTGGATGCATCTATCTTTTGACTTTCTTTTATCCTTTCAATAATTCTTTTCATAAAATCATCTATGTGTGGCATTATTACTGTTAGTATCATACAATAAAACAGTAAAAAACTGTAATTTATGTTAAACCACAACAGAAATAATGTCATGTCACAGTGTGTTTATGGAACTTGTATTTTGCTTAAACTTGTGTTTTTTAATACACCCTTTGTCAGAAAAGTTTCAGGACAAAGCTCGTAAAAAATAGAAAATTGCAATTACCAAGTAATGATACTACCACTGGCAAAGTAGTCCCCTCAGCTATCTACACACAATTTCCAACGTTTCTGGAGATCTTGGAAGCAAGCAGAGAAAGCTTGTCACAGTCTGTTGGATGTCTGCAATATCTTGATGAAACGTCCTTTTCAGTTGCAACCCTTTGTCGGAAAAGTGTGATTTTTCTTATTTTCACAAATCAAAAGCAACTGATGATTCATCAAGATATTGCAGACATCCAACAGACTGACAAATGAGCTAACAAGCATCACATTTGAAGCTTTCTCTGCTTGCTTCCAAGACCTCCAGAAACATTGGAAATTGTGTGTAGATAGCTGAGGGGACTACTTTGACAGTAGTAGTATCATTACTTGGTAATTGCAATTTTATATTTTTTACGAGCTTTGTCCTGGAACTTTTCTGACAAAGAATGTAGAACATTCAACTATGGCCTGGGTATTTTATTTTCTGAAAACATTGACATAGATTTTCTGCTGTTTATTACTTTTCCAGCTCTGCTGTATATAACAGAAATAAAGTATAGAGATCAGTCAAAAAATGACTTTCCAAGATTTTAACATTTTTGAATTTGGGACTTTGAAATGTCAAGAAATGCAAAAAAAAATTTGAGGATTTTTTCTGAATGTATGTATGGTGGGTGGTGGCATGATTCTGTTCACCCTCTTTGAAATTTAACTCCTGGGGTTTTTGCCAAAAATTTCTGAAATTTTGCAGGGAGGGTTCTGTATTGGGAATTAATGTATTAAATTTAGGTGGTTAAAGGTTGACAGGGTGGGGAGATAAAGGTGATACTAAAAATAATTGACATTGGATATCGATATTCACGTGAAGTGCATTCCCTAAATGAAATTTCTGGAACCACCCCTGCATAGAATACAGTGATACATAACTTACTTTTCTTGCAATAAATACTGATTCTGTTGACATAAACTTTATCTTCAGTTGTCTATTTAAAAAAAAAAAAAAAAATGGGTGAGTGTGTAGAAATTAAGTTGCATTTTAGATTCATGTAAATATGAATCAGAAAACCATAAAATTTTGTTTACATGATAACTAGATAAAAACAAGTATAAAATACTACCAGTTTCAAGAATGTACTGTGTAACATTGAATGTTTTATTCTTTTTTCTTCAAAACTTGAACAAAAACTAAATTATCAAGGAGCATGGAATGTGTAAATAAAATATATTCTTTTAAATACTCTATAACCATAGTTAACAATATGCATTTTTTATTGTAAAATATACAAATATAAAACATGTTTTGGTGATCATTTTTAAGAAAAAAACATTGAAAAACAAAAATTATTCAAAATATTCTAATTTCAAGTTTGTCACAAATTGTATTTTAATGAAGGATTAAATTTATAAATATTTTCTGTTTTTTATTTTAGCCAACAATATGTCATAACCCTGTTTGCAACAATCGTTCACGATTTATGTTAGATATCAATAAATCTAAATTTGTAGATTTTCAAAAAATACGAATTCAAGAAACGCAATCAGAATTACCTAGAGGAAGTATACCAAGGAGGTGTGTTGAGTAATTATACTAATCATAATATTAAAATTGCAATTGTAATGTTTAGTTTTCTTAATATTTTATCATAAAGATTCATTTTTTTTCTGTAATATTATAAAATAAATAATTTTAAAAAATGTAATCATTAAAGAGATTTTCATACAGAAATAAACAGAATTTTTATAAAATAATTCTTATATAGTTATATAACCAATATTGATCTATTATATACAAAGTAATATAACAAGAGATTTATTTTCAATTTTTTTATTACAGTGTGGAAGTTATTGTTAGAGCTGAAGCAGTTGAATTGGCTCAACCAGGTGATCGCTGTGATTTTACTGGTACATTAATAGTTGTACCTGATGTTAGTCAACTTGCTACACCAGGTAAACCTTAGATAAAATTTAGAATATATGTTAACCCGTTTTGGTCTATGAATGAGTCTCTCACACAAAATTGTTTTTCTGTAAAAATTGAAGGATGAGTTTTACTTATAGTTTAACCTGTTTTTCTATGAAGCTGGATGGTTGATACATTGATAGTTGATATAGGACTATAGGAATGAAAAACTTTATTTCCATGGCTAAATGGCATGCATTGCATATTTTGATGTTTTGTAAAATGGCTGTGAGCAGAAAGTTATCAGTCAATAAAGCTTTTGATTTTATAAATGTTAATACTAGATCAAAAATGCATAAAATTACCAAACTAACAAGGAGAGGACACAGCTGGCTACCCACCGATTTTGATCAGCTTGGACATGGTGAAAGTACATTGAAAATGAACAAATACATGTCCAAGGTTTTCATCCATTGCACCTTGCAAATATAAATTTTTGATGTTTGAAAATTCAAACGTTTGTAGTGAATGGTTATAAGCCATTATAGACAATACATTCCGTAAGCACTGCAAAACATAGTCTGTTAAATGATCATTAAGTAGCAGTAGCTGTCGAACAGGTGTTCTTCTGGCATTGATTCCCAAAAATTTTTTTCTAAATTTTTTATTTTTAATATTTTTTACTTATAATGCAAATGTAAAAATAATAGAATTTTTACATTTGCATATGCATAAACATTTTCATTTTAATTATGTAACAAAAACATTAATTTTAATACTTTTATAACGTTTGTAAAATAAATTTATACTTTTGTAATAGATTAGACTATTGTCAATAACAAGATGAATGCCAATGTTCTATTGTTTTCTTTGTTAATAAAACTTTTAAGCCTTGCATTTGAATGAGCCATAGTTGCTAGTTCCATGAAATAAGTAAACAAACTTGTTTTTGATTGAGAGGACCGTAATATTGACAGCAGAAGTGGGATATATATTTTTACAAGTTTCCCAAAATCCCTGTCACTGCTGAGAAAGGTTCAAGGGCATCTATTATGGAAAATATAATGGATCTTTAGAAGTTTTTAAATGATTATATATTAACATACATATAACTGTTAAAAATTGATTAAGCCTGTACAAGTTGTTTCAAATTACATAATTACATATACCTGGGAGTATTATTTTCATTGACTAGACAATTTTTACAGGTTAAAAATTATAGTATTCATAAGACTCAAATTTTATGTTATATGTGGCCTATTCTTTCAAAAACTAAAATTCATTTTGCTCATATTTATATAAAATTATTTTACTCAATGATTTTATCTGTACTAATTATGCTGCTCCTGTATGGGCAATTACTTATGACAATAAAATGGAAATTGTTCTTGCTTTATATCTTCAAAGAATTTTTATGTTATACTTTATGGTATAATAAAGTATAACATGTTATACTTTATTATACCATAAAGTATAACATAAAAATTCTTTGAAGATATAAAGCAAGAATAATTAACATATAACATAAACATTCCTATACGTTGCTATTGGAGTTTGATGTTTCTAGAATATTGGTATTAATAATAAAAGCAACGATTTCTTTCTGGATTTGACTGTTGAAATTACAAGATAACAGTTATGTTAAAGTAGTGTATAAATTATGTTTAATGATGGATAATTATACATATAACTGGATATTGTCATTGAAAAATTTGTTAGATCAATATGATTTCTCATTTCTATGGTTGTTTCAAGATCCTCATTTCATCAAAAGTTATCAAACATTAATTATAAAAGTGTGTTGCAAACAGAGCATACAAGAAGATTGGTCTTTGTTGAAAAAGAACAAGCATTTTCAATTATATCATATTTTTAAAACAACTTATATGTGTGAGGATTATTTGTTTATGGACATAAATTATCATATGAAACAATTAATTCTACAACTGAGATGTGGTCAAAATTATATTTTGATGTATAACAGTAGACTAATAATAGACCCCAAAAGAATTTGCAGTAACTAGTTTGCAAACATATGAAACTTGGAAACATTTATTGTATCAAATTTGAAACAAGTAGGAAAAAGAATTTGACAAGATTTAAATCCTAGAAAGATATAATTAATTTATTACATTTTTCAAAAAATTATTTTTGTGTATTTTATTTTGTTATCTTTAATTTGTTAAAGTTTACATAATATGTATAAAAATGATTATTATTGTGTTTTATTGTGTAGTACTAAGCTATTATATTAATTTGTTAAATTGTATTAACTTCAGTTTTTATATAATACTTTTAATCCCTAGTAACATTCATGCAATAAAGAATTGAATTGAATTGAAAAAACTGATTACTGAAGCTGCTATGATATTTGGATGTTGCAGAATTCAGCTCTTATTTCAGTTTTAAGATTATTTAGCAATGGATTGATGCTATTGAAGAATCTTTACAGATATTTTTCTGACTACAATATTCATACAGTTGCTACATTTCTGTAATTTTGATAAAACAGTTCCATATAAAGAGTAAAATGTTGAAGTTGATTATTTAGTTTTCACATTAGCAATTATCTGTTCTCCCATTGCCAATTTACTGTTGACAGTTAATAGTAAGCATACGATTGTTGTGAATATTACACAGTCTGTAATAACAGTATTAAACAGAAATTAGATTTCTAATTTCAAATAAACATTAGTTTTGTTTTCATAATGTGTATATTAATAATGATTGCAAAAAGTCATTATTAATTTGAAACTTGTCTTTGTAGAAACTTGAAAATGTTTTATTAAAGTTAATGTTCATTTTGAATATTCTGAATGCACAAAAATATTTAATTTTGTATTAATGATGATAATTATTTATTTAGGTGTTCGTACAGAAAGTGGTATTCGTCATAAAGGTATGGAAGGATTTGAAACTGAAGGTGTCAGAGGTCTTAAAGCTTTGGGTGTAAGAGAATTATCTTATAGAATGGCATTTCTTGCCTGCTCAGTCACACATTCTAATTCTCAGGTAAGAATAGTTATATTAGAAGACAGTTTTGTCTTATTCAGAATTTGATAATACTAAAATAGTAACATAAATTAAAAAACTGCATACACGGAACCTATTTATGGTGTGATAATGCAACATTGAAAAATATTGAAAAAACAAATGTTTTCGAACCCCTTCTGGGCTCTGCATCAGGTTCTTAACTGTTCCTGGATGGATATTCGATTAACTAATGCTGTTTAAATAACGCTCGATCATAAGTTTGAAATGATTTACAAAAAACTACGTCATGCATGTGCAATGAGTCTGCCTACCTGGATACTACGAGTGGCTAGTGCGTGCTGTAAATCAACTCTTGCCAATGACAAGACAATCTTTTCTTTAAAATTTATGCATATGCTTGTGATGGAGGATTTAAAGATGTGCCTCTAACCATTTGAGGTGTTCATTGGGAGGTGCAGCGAGGAGGAGATTGGCCTGGTATTGGCTTAGTATTTTGCCTTCCTTCAAAAAGTTGGCTACTATGTCTGGATCTGTGGCATAAGTAGTGAGGGCCGTGGAGGTTCTCCAGTCACAAGTATCTGCCTGATGTTATTGAATTCTGATGCCCATGGACTGTTTAGTAGAGCCTATATATATCAGGTCCCTATCACATCTTTAGGCACTACTAAATGGTCCATGGGCATCAGGCATTATATGTGCCAAAATTGTAATAAATCTATAAGCATGCAAGCAATTAGAGCAGCACATGGTTTAATGATCAGCAGAAAAGAATAATTGTTTACCAGATAATATCTCGAAAGTTCAACTTAATTGAAATAAGCATAGACATTTTACATGAACACTTTTAAAATAAACAATATTTTTAATAACTTTTCATATATAACAAAAATTAAATTTGATATTATGTCNGATAATGGTTTCTAGTATATACGTTTCTTACATGTTGCTGAAGGAAACGATGCTTTATCTTGTAAGCCATTTAATTATCTGCCGGATAACTGGAGCAGATATTCACTAGTATATCCAATCGTTTAAATATTCAATATATCTATATAAGTAAGTTGTATTCGGTAAATATTTAATATATATTCAGTAAATAATCTGAGACAACGCGTATTTAATAGACCTATTAATTCCAAAACATATTCATCGAGTCTGCATTATTCTAATATTCATACGCGCTTTTCAATAATAGTTAGAGTATATTCAATAATAATTATTTTTTAGTAGATTTTTATGAATATGTACAGAATTCCATTTTATCGATTATTATCTTTACACTACATTCAATGTAAATACTAAATATACTGAATAACGAATATGTAGTGAATATCTACTGAAATTTTACGTATTCAGTACATAATTTGAATCATTTTAATAAATATTCAGCAGGTAATTTCAAATGTATATTCGGTATTCAGTGTGTATGCGACAGATAACTTAAATCAATACATATTCAGTAAATATTCGTACGTAATCTGAAAGATACATATTCAGTATTCAGTACAAATTCAGTAAATAATTCCGTATTCAGCACATATTCAGCAGATCTATTGAATATAGAACATACTCAGATAATTGTAATTCTCTTTCATATATCATAAATTTTCTATTTTATAAAAACTAAAGAATGGCCTAACTTGGTAAAAAACTAGATTTATTCAAGAAAAGAAATTTAAATTATTGAAGATATAAAGCGTTTTGAATGTATAACGTATGCAAAATTTTACTTTCGATATAGATTTATATAAGAGATTTTTTTCTAAGAAAGTTTTCCTTACGTTTAAAAGAAATATTGAATGGGTTGTATATATATATATATTTTTTTAAATTGTGAATTCCGTAACTCTTTGACGTCTCCAGTTTGGATTTCCGGAGATTTTTCGTATTCTGCTCCTTGCTTTTCTTGAAGAAGTAGGTAATGTGGCAGTTGCTTGGTTAAAACGGAAGTTACAAAAGTTTACAAGATTTTTTTCCAACTTTTTTTTTCTTTATTTTCTGAGTAACCAAGACAAGACTTGTTCTATCTCTGACTGAAATAGTTTTTGTTTCGCTTTGAACTTATATTTAAAACATGAAGCATAGCATCACAGTCTGAAACAGAGAACTATGATCAGACGGAGCGAGTCAACATTCTCGACTTACTCCGAGATAATTATAAAGTAAAACATCTTAAATTTCACTGAAAAATTAAGATAATTTATCATTCTTGAATTTAAAAAAAACAATTATTTATCTTTCAGTTTAAATTATTTAAATATTTATTATTATTATTATTTTTTAATTCTAATGATGCTGCTTAAAATATGAAGTTATAACCTTATTCTGTGTCTATTACGATTTTTAGTCTTTCGAAAAGAAAATGGTACAAAGCACTCAGAAAAGTTTGTGATGTCATCGATTATCAGTACATGTCATCACTTCTCAAACTACATTGGAAGATGTTTATCCTCTTTGTCATCAAATTTTATTTGTAGTCTACTACATCGAAAAATTTGGAAAGTTTTCTTTATTTTTTAGTTATTTAAAAATTATTTGAAATAATTTTTCACTCACCATACTTATTACACCAGTTTTTATCTATTTAAAATCAAAGCCAAATGATTGCAGGCTTACACCAATATAATCCAGCAATTGTTTAGCTTTAGTATATGACCTTCAGGATTGGATGTTTTATATTTGTCTGTTTAAAATTTGTAGCTATGTAATGTATTGACTCTGAAAACTTTAAAGATGCTATTAATGGTGTAATGTATAGAGCAACACCATTTAATTTTTTCAGTTTACTGTAGAGTTATTATATGTTTTGAGGATGCTATTTGTGATGTGTTTTAATTTTCTATAGATCATTAAATTTATTATTACTGTACTTTTTTATGCAGTAATAAATAAATACTATATATAAAAATTATAAATTATTTTATGTTAATGTTTGGTTGGTTTTTAACTTGTAGTTTGGTGGAAGAGAACTGACATCTGAAATGACTGCAGAAAACTTAAAAAAACAAATGACTCCTCAAGAATGGGAGAAAATTTACAGCATGAGTCAAGACAAGAATTTATATAACAATTTACTAAACAGTTTATTTCCAACTATTCATGGTAAAATTTTACAGCTTATTATTTAAATATTAAATATGTTAAATAAATATTTAGTAGATTTATAATTTAAACATTATAATGTATAACAAGTTGTATATTGTGTTATTTTCTGGTTTTTTCTTCATTACTTTTTATTAAATTTTTAATAAGGTTTTTCTTAGTATAGGTATTAACTGCATACTACTTTATTAAAGTATATCTTTTAAATAATTGAAAAATCATTTATAAGAGAGGATTAAAAATTTGCTTTACAGGAAATGATGAAATTAAAAGAGGAATTTTATTGATGTTATTTGGTGGTGTGCCAAAAAAGACAATAGAGCATACAACACTTCGTGGTGATATTAATATATGTATTGTTGGAGATCCGAGTACTGCTAAAAGTCAATTTTTGAAGTAAGTATAAACTTAATGTGTAATATTTTAGTTCATTTAAAAGAAATTATATTTTACAACATTTAGATAAAACCATCTTTATAAATGAATCTTTTGGAGATATTTTCATTCAGTACATTTATTATTTTACTGTAGGATTATAAGTTTCCAATGTTTATCAATTTTTGTCTAATATTTGTTTATTAATAATAATAATGTATGTGTATATATATTTATATACACGTTATTATTATCTTATAATATAATTGGATGGGTTGATAATAATAATAATAATAAGCACAGATCCCGAATGGTTAAGAGTTGAAAGCTGAAATTTGGTACACAGTTAAGGTAAGCAATGCGAATGCTCACTAAGGTATTTTTGGAAATTCTCCTCCATGGGAGAGGGAGAGGGTTACAGATTACCCTGAAGAACTCTGCTTCTACTGTACTATTTTAGATGTGGTTTTTTGCATTTTTATAGGAAATCAAACATATTTTAGACTTGTCTACAAATATCTCTAACTAGCATTCCCTGTTGTGGCCTCTCCCACTCTTATATACATAATGAACAATTAGTTCAAATTTTTGAAGTTCTATAATTATTTGTGGATAATCCACGTTGTATGTGGAAACCTGTTGTAATTGTGAAACTCCAAATAAGATTATTATTATCTTGCATGATTTTCTGCAATCTTTCAATGAGTTTCCTTTTCAAAGTTGGGTTTATATTCGATTGGGCAAATATCTGGTCAGATTCAGACATGAAATAGATTTGTAAAAATTTAGGAATGTCTTCTATATCAGGAAGTAAACTGCCAATCAAATGATAAGCTTGACCCTGGATATTAAAAGTAGGCATGAAATTCTCTTCTCTTATTTCTTTGGCTCCAAATGCTGTCATTTGAAATAGAGTGTTGTACTGTCTAGAATTGTCTAAGAAATGTATAGAAAGAGGATCTGTTCCTAAAATTAAATTTTTAATGAAATCAGGAGGTTCTTCAAGTTGTTCAAGAACAATTTTCCCTGCTGCACAGCAAAGTCCAGGAGTTTCATCATACCATTTTTTGGCAAAACAATGATCACGTATTTTGATCATTTTATCTCTCTCATATCCAAATTGTCATTTTCAGGATAATAATCAAAAGCTGATTTGAAACATAAAAAATTCCTCACTGTACACATTTGATTCTGAGCCGAATGAATTCATTGCTCTTCCAGTCTTTGAGACTGCTCTGCTGTAGATTCACGTTGTCTACAATTATGAACAATAATAGCTCTAGAACTTTTTCTTCCTTTCCTTCCTCTCACAGCTCTCGGCATTATTTATCAATCAATCTCAAAAATATTCACTTGAGATAAATTCAATAACTATTTTGAATATTTTGTACAATTACCTGTAGAAATTAATGCATAACAATTCGAAAACCCACCATAAGTATACATAGTGCCATCTAGCGTGATGATGTCACTTTTTTTTTTAATTTCTCGAAGATTTTGCTAATTAACTAATTATAATTTAATGTTAGTTCTTCAAATATAATAGTAAACTTCAATAATAGACTTTACTTATAGACAGAAAGTACTAATAGATTTGTTTTCATCTAGTGAAGAGAGAAAGAAATAGACAGAAAAAAATCCATTGCAGTTTTATTTAATTAATAAAAAATCTGTAGGTTTGATTAGTGGTAAACATTGCAGGGATCATAAAGATGCTACAGTTAAAATATGGTAATGATTGGTTCAGTAGTTTTCATGGTTAGTGGTCACAAACAAAAACTATGTTGTCTATATAGTAGTATAGATTAGTCTTGGAATAAAGGGATCTAATTCTTGCATCTGGTGAAAATGGGTAAGATTGGCTATAATCTAATAATTCTAATCTTCACATCATTACTTTTTGCCTAAGCAACACCAGACTCATCTGCAAGTAACTAAATAAAAGATAACATTTGAACTTGACTCCTTATATGTTGGAACAATGAAGTGTAACTGTTCTGTTCTTTCTGTTTTCTAATTAATGTTGTATTTAAGATGAGGTTATGAATTCCAGAAATATTTAAGACTGTGAATTTTTAGTTACTATCTTGCATTTTTAAGTTTTTTTGGCAACAATGAAGTTATTTATCTTAATTTATTTTTATATTAGATGTTTATTTTTATTTAAATTTATTATTCATATTTTTTATAATTTATATAATATTTTA